ACTCAGTAAAATAGTGACTGTCAAGGGCTTAAGAGAAAAAAAAAAAAAAAAATTCCAGCAAAGTCCACGTGCAGAGCAACCTGAAAGCACACAGGCAGGCATCGGGTATACAGGCAACCAGGCCACTATGTGCAGCTCCATGCCATATTACCCAGGAAAGGAAAAACATTTCCAGTTTCATTCTGCATCTGTACGTGGGGCTGCCAGGCTGCTATCCTCCTCTGTTTCTGCCTAAGCAGCGACTGCCTGATTTCTCAGCAGCAGGGACGAGGTCTGGAAGTCAGCGATGGGGCTACTGTGCTAGCCTTCACCCACCAAGGGAAGGAAGCAAGCAAGCTGGCAGCACTTCGTGCAAGTTGAAACCTCCCACAGTGTTCCTGCTCAGGAGAGCTTATTTAATTTAAAAAAAACAAACAGAAAGTATACTGGCAAGAGTGCTCGTTTAGAGATAACGTATTGCATCTCCCAGAGGCCCTAGGGGGAAGGGGGAGCACATAAAGATCCGTTTTTTTTTTCCTTACCAGGCATAGATTTACTGGAAACTAGAGACCGCAGCCTTCTCCCCACCTCCACGCTTGCGAGGTTTGGTGCAGCAGCACATCACCCTCACGTCGGGTGCTGGGGTGGCATCTGTGCAGAGACGTGCAGCCAGCCAGCCAGGACTCTGCCCGTTGCTCCATGCCCCAACTTCGTGCGTTAAAAACACCCCTCATGCATCTGTATTAAGGCTCTGGGATTCCAGCTGGCACTTCCCAGTGTGTGGGGCTTTGTTTAGGCACTGTCCTTTGTACTGTACTAACATCTAATACAACATCAAGTGGTGATGTAAAGACAGTCAAAATGGTTTCAAAGCAATTGAGATATATACCATTTTACCCCGTAACTTTGAATTTACATTGTAACTACCTTCACTTTCTTGTAGGAAGGACCTAAGAAAATAGTATAACTTCCATATGAGGAATGCTTCTCCTTGCTTTGAGATCCCACAGAAAACTGTAGGTTTGATGGGCTTTTGCATTCTGATAATTTTTGATCCATTTGCCAGAATACCTGGTACCAAAGAATAGCAAATCAGCGTAGCTCTGCTTGAAGGATAGAGGGGGTTCTTGTTTCAGTTTAGAGTTGAATTGACTTGATTGGAATGAATTGTTGCAGATCTTTGTAAAACCCTCGGCATAAACATGAAAAAAACATACAGCATCCGTAACTCTGGGTTTACATTTAATAAACTGCAGCTATGCTGAATAAAAGCAAAACTGTCACTTAATGCAAGGCAAATAGCAATCATTATTCTTAGCCAAAGAAATTCATTATAATGTTAATACCAATAGTGGATTCATCTAAGCTATAGAGCCAGGGATGCTGGAATCTTTTCACAGTTCTGCCAATACACTGTGTGGCCTTGGAAGAAGTAAAGAGTGAAAGAAGAGAGAGACTTTGAACAATTTCTTTGTACCTTAGTTTTCGGGAAAACTGGAGATACTCACCTGTTCAGAAAGGTGGGGTGCTTTTTATTCAGTACTCTTAAAATCATGGCTTTAGAGCATGAGAAGTAAAAGCTCTTTAGGTTGCTTTGTTTCTATTTGCTAGTAACAGAGTGGATTGATCAGCACTGTATATTGATTCAGTGCAGAAAAAGAAGTAAAACAGGACTTTTGTGGAGGCACAGTTATGTGCAACATAGAAACCTGCCATGGTTTAAATCTGTCCACAAAATCTGCACAAAACCCCATTTTGGTTTATCCCAGATCAATTAGGAACAGCTTGAAGCTGAAGAAAATTAAAACCACTGTTCAAACCGAGGCAATGCCATGTGCAGACAAGCCTGTAAAAAAAACCACAGAGACACCATTCTGCAAGCCTGGTAACAAGCTTTGAGGGCTAAAGCTCTCATCTTCACCTTTTCAATTCTTAGCTCTTATGTTCTTTCTTCCTAAATCCAGAAGGAATACACCCAGAACAATTCAGATCACCTGTGTCATTACTGAGGATTAAGGAGCAAAGAGTGTAAATCATTTCTTAATTAGAAGTTGAGGAGAATGGGAAGGGGGCATCATTAGGCAAACAAAGCACAGCACCTAGTACAATAGGTGGTAAGTAGACTATTAGTCTCTGCTAAGTACTGCTTTTTTAGTCGGAACTAGGAAAAGCAGTTTAGGGGAGACAAAAAAAGGGATTTAGCATGAACATATCCCACCTATCTAAAGATGTGCTAAACTCAGTAGCAAGCCCCCTCAAATTAGTAAAGGGATAGAATTTACATAAAAAATACTCAGTGTTTTTCCCTTAGTCCCCCCATGAGTTGATCTGCTTTTAATGCAGATGCTAATTGAGACCAAGGTAATCCGAGTTTACAATGGTGCTTGATTCAAGATGTTAAGCAAAGGGCTGTTTGAAAAACGTCTCTCCAGTCCATGGAGTGCAACAAATTGATTAGCTCTTGTTTTCTCTTGCAGTTTTGAAAAGAAATATTGAACCCTTGAAATATTTGACCTGGCTTTGTGGCTGCAAACATTAGTTTTAACTATATAGAAAATACTGTGATAGGGATCCAGAAAATCCTGTTCTTCCCATACTAGGTTTGCAAGTAAGCATCTGCCCAGTTAAGTCCCTTTGCCATTTTTTAAATAATTTTTTTATTATTATTTTTGTGTGCGTGTGTGTTTTTCAGTTGTGGAATACACAGAGGAAGGTGGGGGAGAGGAAGGTGTGCTGACTCCAAACAGTCTGTTAATCCTCACCAGAGAGCAATTAAGGCAGCATTCACAAAACCATTTAGCTTTTCTGTTCCTCGCTTCTGATCAACTTTTTTCCTTTTCATTCATTAGGGTTACACATGAACCTCTTGACCCTTTTCTGTTTTATGGTATCAAGAAGGCTACTTCTCTGGTTTCTTACTTAATTTAAAATCTTATCCTGAAGTTGCCTCCTGGAGAGCCTTCAGTTTCTGTTGAAGCTGACAGGAGGTCTATATACACTACAGCTTGAGCCTTAAGTGTACTGACTGCCAGGTCAGGCATTCTTTTACCTTTCTAGTTCAGAAAACCCACAGTAGAAAATAATCATGTTTTAGCAAAGGAGAGACTAGTTGATAAAACCACCTGTTCTCCATTTTTAAGATCTGAGTCAACTCAGCATAAAATATATCTTCCTAGCGGCATAAATGTGACACAAGTTGCTCTGTATTTCCCAGAACTAAGAGCATCAGGAAGGATTTTGTTAAGTTGTCTCTGAACTGACAGGAGTTTTTGTCATGATGTACTATCGAAATTGGACATTTAACCAGATAAAATACTCTATGCAACTACATATTTTCCTAAGTGAACTGCAAACAACAGTTGCTTTATAAAAAGGAAGCCATTTTCTAAGTGCTTTCAGCAATACAAGTTTCAAACCTAACTTTAAAAACCATAATTCCAGCCGTGGTACTGCGTATTGGCACAGTTATCAATAAATCCCAGTGACCTTTCACTGACTGGAACAAGGGCAACGCTTTTAAGTTCCAGCTGGTGTAGTTCTGGAAGCCTTATTATTTTTCAGTACTAAACCAAGTGTACAACACAAGTCTCAGTATTCTGGGAAAGCTTTTATTTTTAGGGTATGCTGTTTTCATGCTTACATTCTTATTCCAATTTTAAGAGGAACCGGTCAGGCAAATGTAAGTCACAGCCCTGGGTTAGCTAAGTTCTGTGAAATTTCTGATTCACACCCATAAAAGTCAGGAAGTTATCCAAATATATCACCTTGCCCCGACAAACTAGGGCACTCGGATATATGTGTGCTTAGTATAAGCATTACTATAGGACATGCTGCTCACCAGAATTAAGATGTAACATTCTTAAGTAAAATATACTTGTGTATATTTTACTTGTGTAAGGTCATACATTTGTTTACAACCTATATTAGTCCCACTGACTTACAAGAGAAGTCTCCAAGCATCTTTACCATAGCAGTTTTCTCTTTGATAGGCAGCGCTAACACAGGAAACGCTTGAGCATTTATTTCTTATACACACAAGATTTTCAAGCCTTGGCCCCTGCTCCTACTGGTAACACCTGTGGAGTCCTTTTAACGTGCCTTCAGAGTATAATCACTCAGGTTCCTGTGCCATGAGGAGGTGTTAAAACACTCCAGCAGGGAGTAGTATATTTTGACAACTTCTTCCTATCAGTGTCCTGCTGTGAAGGGGATGGCTGCAGTCAGGCAGCATGCATTTTAACAAGGAGTCAAAGTGGGCAAGCTTTTCCAGCATATTCTCAGAAAACTGCTTTGAGTCTTATTTTGTTCTTGCCTTACCCTGTAATTCTTCATCCATTTGAAGCGTCCAGTTATGTAAAGAGAGAAAAAAAGACCACTAAGCCACTGGAAGAGAGGAAGCAACACATCCGCTGTTCTATTACCTTCCCCCAGGATCTGTGCTGAACGTACAGTTTACTGAAGTCAGGGCTAGAAGTTGCTCCTTTAGCAGCACCACTTAACTGATAGTTCATCAGGGGCAGGTGAGTCACAGGCAGTGTTTTACCATCCTGCATCATTTACTGGTAGAAGTGTGTAGCTAAAGTACAGCCTTCCTGTGCTTTACAGGCTGTCAAGTGTCCACAAGTGAGAACTCCACTAAGGCACCTCCCTCTCCTGCGTTGCTGAGAAGTGACACAGCTACAGGAATCGAAACCAAGTCCTCTGACATGTCCCCCAGGGCATGGTACGGCAGCTTGAAAGGACCAGGGAAGGGTGAAACTCATTTCTATAGTTTCAGTCATTCCTTGGACGGGTTACAGGCCTCAGAATCCTGCCTTTTCCAATAGCATTAAAATAATACAAGTTAAAACCCCAAGAACCTAAAAAGTTCTAACCCATCATCTTCAGAGCTGTAAGAAGCCAAAACTGATGCACTTCCTAACAGTGTCAATCATCCCAAAGTCCTCGTTTCAGTCCCAAAAGAGCGTTTTGTAATAGTGAAGTAGCACCCGGTTCAGGCTGTATGCTGATGTGTCACCTTCTCAGACGTGAACTCCTGAGCACATCGTGTGGTCACCTCGTGTCACCCCGAGAGGGGCTGCGTGAGCCCTGTGTCCGTAAGTTGTTCTTTTAAGGAAAGGTGCTGGAGCCATTATTGCGGTACGATCAGTTGGTATTCTGTGGTTAGAGCCTGAAGGGTGCAGGAGTTGTCCACTGGCAGGGGGAGGATTTAAGAACCGAGCATCTTCCCCCAACCCCATAATAGGAAGGGATGGGGCTAGAGTCATGCAGATGTTGCTGGTCTGAGGACCGCTGCTCACCAAGCTTCTGGTGGCAGAACTGGAACTGGAGAGGCGAGAAGGAAGATCAGGTTCTAGTAGCCAAGTTTGGCCAGGTGCAAGCCCACTTTGCTGCCCCTCATCCTGGGATTTTAAGCATTTGCAGCAGCAAATTCCAACACAGGCACCGCCAACAACAAATGCCACAAATACAGACCCAACGAGAAGGAACGGCAGGTACACGGGCACTGAAAAAGGAAGAGTGACATTAGCCAACCCTCCACCCGTGGCGTATTGCAGGTTATATTCTGTTCTTCATTCCTTAAGGTATGCATGCACCAGGGAGCAGGCCAGAGGAGTTTTACTCTCAACTCTTGCTGCTGCAAGATTAATTGGCAATTGCTAGGTAGGCTCATTTGAAAAAAAAGCCTGAACTACAGAGGGTCAGACCAGTCAGTCCTATCACATCTACCGTTAATACCCATACAAGAGCCGTTCCAGTACTCAGATGTCACAGCTACTGTTCACTTGTGCATAATTAAGTAGAAAATCAGACTTGTAACCAAGTTTTACAGTTAGTATCTAAACCGCTGTCGGGTTGCCCGTGCAATCTGGGTTTGAGGGCTACAAGTGTTTTTACAAGCCAGAACTTAAAGGTCTTAAAAGGCATCCCCGTGCATTAACAGAACAGGTTAGCAACACGTATATTCCACCAGGGATTAAAACATTAGAGGTGTTACCAGATTACATTGTTAGTAGTTCAGAGGCTTTTCTAAGAGTAGGACTGACAGAAAAGCCTTTTGAGTGAAGCCCTGGGTTATTCCCTCTTCCCAGGGAAGGGAACTGAGTGGCTCTGGCCCCTGCAGCCGCCAAAATAAGTGCCGCGCTAGGGCTCCGCGCCTTCCCGCTGCGGTGGCTACAGCTTGGAGCTCTGAAGGGCAGAGAAGCAAAGGACGCGGCCGATGCCAAGGGGGATGGAGAGAAGAAAGCCCATCTGATGTGACACCCCCCCCCCCCTCCCTCCCCATCTGCTAGAGGGACGGGGAGCTTACCTGGCACTGGAGGCCTGGGGCTGGGCTGCTGGTGGTCACTGGGGCAGCGGCCCTGGTCCAGGCGGGCTTCTCTGGACGAGCAGCAGTAGCGCAAGCTGCAGGTCCCGCAGCACAGGGTGGCCTCAGGGCCATCGTAGCGCTCGGGGCACTGGAAGCCGCGGTGCCAGCGCTGCGGGCCGCCAGCCCAGCCGTGGCAATACTCCCCAGCCCGCCCAGGCCCGCAGTGCAGGGCCAGCACCAGCCCCAGGGCACAGAGAGCCCCCCTTGCCATGGTGGGTCACGCAGAGGGGGGGGGGGTGTCTCGCCTCTCTAGCCACTTGGCCCAAACTGACCTTTTTTTTTTTTTTTTTTTTTTTTTTTATCCCGCGCTTCTTATTTTAAAGGCGAGGCACAGCCCACCCCAGGCAGCTGGAGTGCAGTGCTCCCAGACCACCAGCTGCCCACCAAGGCACTGCCTAAGCTCCTGTTTCAGGAGGTTTTATCTCTCGGCCTGTGACCTGCCTCTAATCCCCTCTCTCAAAGAAGACCCCACTAATTGAAAACCATTTGCAGCTACTCCCGTCCTTCCCTCCTGCAGGGAGCAGCCACCGGTTCCTGCTGGAGACAGCACATCTCACGCTCATGGCGAGGCATTTCCACCACATTTCCACCAGCACCAAACCCTTAGCAAGGCTAAGGAGCGCAGGATACGGAAAGCCCACCGCCATCCTGGTACCAAAGCTCCATTCCTTCAGGGGCTCGGCCGTAGCTGAAGTGTCAGAGGTGGGAGGCCGGGGACTGAGCTGGGGACAACACCTGATGACAAGCAAGAACTAAAATTTCTGGAGCAGAAAGAAAATACAGGGATGGGCTCTAAAGTGTAGTTGCTACAGGCTGGCACCAAGGTAATTTTTACCTTGTTTAACACGGTTAATCAGTTGCATAAATACAAAAAAAAAAATTTTAATCTGAAAATGTAGGAAAAATTAATTTTGAAAGCTCTAAATTGGTGTAATTTCTGTCTCCGGGGTTGAAAACCTAGAGGCTGAAAATTTTAAAGGGTCTTTTGCACTTCTGCTTTCCCTACACACGGTGCAATCCATGAATTAAAAAGCATGTTTCAGGGGACAAAATGCCTATTTTAAGATCTCCAGAATTTTCATCTCCACAGAAAAATCCTAGAGAGTCCCAAAGACCCCATAGCAGCACAGGAGTGGCAGCGACCTCTTCATCTTTGAACTAAAAATAAAAGCAGACCACTTGTGGTCTTTCTCAGTCCCTTGCAAGTCTAACTCCTTGCTGTATTAACAGGATCCGTGTCTGAAGCATGGTTAGCCTGTGCTTAACTGCAGCGAGGAAGAAATATGTTGCAAATTGAGCACTCTGAAAAGCAGGGAGTTAGGGCAACATCTTTTGGACCAATATCCTGGTAATTGTGTAGCACTATTTGTAGTTTGAAGACTCCAAAACGTATTCTTGAATATACACAAAAGCTGGTTCCCACACAATTTTAGGAGTGTTGCCATTGATTGTAGAGGGAGGCTGTCCAACGATCCAAACTTTTAGAAATATTTGCACAAAATTCTCTCCCTTCTGATGATTTTTTGTTTTAATATTAGATACAGGCTTGCACATTTATGCTTTAGTAACTACTTCATAGGTTCAGTTGAGTCATATTTCAGTCTGCCAAAGACATCAGCGCTCATCACCTTTGCCAGTCAACCACCTTTTGTGCAATATTTTTTAATTGGCTTTTTGGCAAACGTGGTTAAAGAGCTCCTAGGATTCAGCAACATTACATGAAATCTCTGCTTAGAACTAGGGACCTTTCCAAATGCTGCTCAGCTCACTGAGGTATGCATTTTGCCCTGCTGCATTTCAGCTCTGCAAGCGTAAGGATGGCTGACTGTGTGGCACCTAATCCTGTAAATCCACGAGCACGATTTAGAAAATACTGAGCAGTAGTCCCAACACCCTTTAAAAGACAGCCAGAGGTGAGCGATGTGCTGTCTTGGATTGGACTCTCAAAGCACTGCAGTGATACTTTAAGCCCAAAGCTATATTTGCCTTAAGGCAGATTCTAGTTTGTTCACACATTCCACCTCAGCGCTGTTAGTCTAGACTAAATACTAACTTTTATTGTTTGTTGTTACGGGAAAAAGCAGCCTCAGACAGACTTCATGCACGTGATTGGCACTTTGCAGACTTCATCGTAATAAAATGTACCTCAGTAAAGGTAACAGGATGCAATTATTTCCTCCCATCTTCCACGTTAAAAGAATATAAAGACACCTGCTAAGTCAGGTAGTCAAACACTAAGAAGTTCCTAAAGTTGTTCCTTGCATTAACACTTTGAATGATGGCTGCCCTTACATGATTTCCTCTCTGCATACACACTATCTTCAACAAATAGGTCATGTATTATTTTTTCCTGCATAGGATTACACTACCTCACTTAGCGGGGATAAACTCTTGGAAACTAAATGCAGAGCTCCTGTTCAGGCCCTGCATGTGTGTTTGTGTGTTCCAGGGGGCATCTGTTTCCCGATTCAAAATCTCTCATCTATAATTTTGTCATAGACTGTTCTGTGCTGTGATGTCCACTTAACCGATGCAGAAGCAGATGAATGTAATTATGTATAAAAATTGTATGTTCTTACATAACTTGTGACCCACTTTGAATTTTGACAGGATAAAAAGGGCTACATGGATGTATTGGGATGCTGGTTGGGAACTACAAGGGTAAATCATGAATAATTTTCTACTCTAATTGCTTGTGTGCTTTCTTAATCTTTCACATGCCAGGGTGAAACTTTTCATACTTGTTCTTTGTCAGATTTGAGGAAGTTTTAAACAAAAGCAACCCAGCCTGTTTTGCATGACAGAACTGTGATGATGGCTTCCCATTATTAACAACAACAAACAATCTTGTTACCTTTTCTGACTATCCCCAACAGCTTAAGCTTTGAATTTACAAGTTACCATGGAAATAGCCCTCAGAAAGAAGTCTCTTTTCCATGTGAGGGTTGTTTCTCTAATTTAGGGAAATGTACATTCCCCCTCGTGAATTTTACACAGGCAGCAAGATGATTAAAAATTCCTGTTATTCAAAGCAGAAAACACAAACTGGAAACCTCCTGATTTGCAGCTGCGTTGCCTTTCCTGCAGAACCAGTGTTCAGTATCAGTATTTTGCAATCGTCTATAATGTTGAAGGTTGAACGCTGCTACCAGATTTCAGACATATTCCTGTCATTTCTTAATGCCAAGTGAACGTTCAATACAGAACAAGAAACAAGGGGAAGAACTAATCCCGTTCTGCTAACAGGAGCCTGCAGTCCAGCGGCCAGATCCTGTAAGGTGCTGATCAATTCTCTCCTGATGCTGCATGTGCCACTTCCCTCTGCCACCAGGTCTGTCAGCACTGTGCTGGGTGCTGGCACCGGCCACGACTGGCCCTAAATAAAATATAGGGAAATAGAGGAGGCACAAGAAGAACACCCTACAGTAACTTAGTGCCTTGCATTTCATGAGCGTGGCGCTTCAGTAAATGCTGCCTATGAGAAATTATGCAACTATTCTATGATAGGATAGCCAAGCACTTCATATACTTTATTTTTACCATGCTTGATGTGCATCATCAATGCCACCTGCCTCCAGCTGTTAGCTGCAAGGCTGGGGGGGGGCCTCTGCACCTCATTATTCCTCTGAATGTTTCAACACTCAAGGATGGAGTGCAGAGGTACGGTGCTGGCCGGAGAGCCTTTGAGAATAAAGGTTTCTGCTTAACCACTGAACGTACAGCAACCTCCTTCTCCCTGATCTCCCCTCCGCCTTTATGCACACTGAAAGATTAACACAGGAGGGAAGGAGCTAGCTGAATGTGAATGCTGAATTGAGAGAGGCTCAACGGTGAAGAAAGAGAGAATCAGACCTAAGCAAGGAAAGAAGGAACGAGGCAGGCGGAGAGAGCAGGCAGGGGACCAGACCTGGGAGACTGACTCGTGATGTGAATGGGGAGCTTGGTAAGGAAGACTGAGTCAAGACACGTAGGAAGGGCAGTACCGCTCTGGAGGCCTGGCGGGCTGCCTGCAGTGTCAGAAGGAAAAAACTGGCTGGAGCATCACAGAGTTCAGGGTGAGCTGGAAAGCAGCTGCTGTTTTCAAGATATTTTAGGAGTTCCGTGCTTCTGCCTGCCTCACCCCGTGCCATCCATGCAGATGTAGTCCCTCAATGGGCGAGGAGTTTAGGGGAAGAGGGAGGCTGGGGCTGACGGGGCAGAAGAATCACAGTAGGAGCCAAGACTCAGCATGATGATGGTGATTTAGGGGAGGAGGTGGGGACCGGCTGCCCACGGCAGCTGGGGTGGAGTGGAGGAGCCCACTGGCTGGAGACAGGGTTTGCTGGGGGATTTCTGAGCCCAAACCATGAGCCTCATAGAACTGGAAAACAACGCTGCCTCATACCACTGGGCGGTTCTGTTCCTACTAAGGAGGTGAGGCCTGATTCTCTACTCACATTAGTGTAACGCGGCTGCAGGGAGCTACTCCTGCACATAGGCTGGTGGTAGCAAGTGAGAGTCCCACGGAGCCGTCTCCTAATTCTGGCTCTGTGCAATGCAGTCAGGTAGCTCCCGACAGCGACCGCTTGCTAACTGGAGATTTGCCCTTTAACAAAGTCCCTTTATTAGTAATTACGGTACTACTGGTTTATTACGTTATAATTAAGGAAATGAAGAATGCAGGAAAATAAAAGACAGTAAATCAGGAGAGAGTCAGGAGGTCTGTGTGCCAAGGTGATGGGCAAGCACACATCTTGAGCTGCACATCGTTACTGGAGGTTGATTAGTGAAGGGATGTCATCCCTGAACCAAGGGGCATGCTGTGGGTATTTAGCAAAATCCACACTCTGCCACTGTAATGAGGAAACTACAGGAGAAGCTAATAATCACTTGAGTGTTTAATATAATGAAGATGAGAAAGCTGCAGCATCGTTTTCTGAAGATACTGATTTAAACCTGGTGTCAGCTTTTCTTCTGTGATGTGGTACCAAGGTGTCCTTATGTTATTGAGAATAATGTAACGTAGGCTTGCGTGACTTCATCTGTTCTTTAAATGTTCTGGCCAGGTTTTAGGTGAGAACAGACTAGGGAATCAACAACATTAGTATCTGTGACAATGTAAGCTGCCTCTGCAGAAGAAAACTAGCAGGCCTGTAAGCTTATTAGTTTGAAAAGGGACAAGATTTCTGCATGTTTTATATAGAAACAATTACTGCCTATTAGAAGCCTGTT